TCACCTTTGTATGAGCGAATGAAAGCAGCTTTTAAACATTATACATTTCTATATTCAAATAGAAGAGATTTGTGAAAGTCCTCAGTACAAGGAGGAGCGACTACTGAAAACTTTTGTCTTGCACTCAACTTAGACACGTTGGAAAACAAAACAATTAATGTTGAGTGGATTCAGTAAGGATCAGTAAGAGTGCTTGTAACTCAATCTGTCATGAATTTTTGTATTTTAACACAGAGAACACAAAACGATGGTGTCATGGAGCCATTAGTGCTGCTGCTTGAGACTGCTCCGTTCAGTACCTTCATAGGTAAAGGGTGGGAAGACAATGGATTCACTGAAGAATCTGGATTTTTTATCATTTGATTTTATTTTGTTTAAATCCACAGCTGACAGAGCAGCTGAAAGTAAAACGGAGCAGACAGCACACACCTAGTTTTCTCAAAAGCCTGAGTCTTTCAGGTTATTAATACATCTCTAACTGCATTTCATTTCCACCGGTCTCTCTGACTGGAACGACCAATATGGATAAAGATTTATCAAAGGGGAAATGAGGGATGTTGTTCCATCCTTGGAAGAAAGTATAGTGGTGAGTTGTTGTTATGTATGTATGCGTTCAGTTTAATACAACTGGCTCATCATGGTGAGTAAATAGGCTAGCTATCTATTAGCTTATGAGCTAACGTAATCCACAGGTTGCCATCCACAAACAGTGGATTTCAGTGTTTAGATCCAGCGAGTTGAATGTGTTTATAGCAAAGAGCAGCTTAGGTGATCGATGGATTTTAGCTGCTCACGTTAATCTGCCCACTAGCGCTAGCCAAGGTTAGCATGCACTCTATGTAAGAGTGCATGCTAACCGTGCAATTTATCTCTATGCAGAACTGCTCATAAAGAAGAGAGAGTGAAATCAACAGTATGGATAACCGCTTCTCCAGGCAGCCAATTTTATACTAGATGGGTCAGGACTTGTCGCCCAGGTATCAAAGAAAACAGATTCTTGTCAGATGACAACAGAGAAAGTGAATTTGTGGGAACAGATGACCTGGATATGCTGACGGCTGCTGGGTCAACTCGTACAATAAGGCCGTATGCACTTTTCACGAGAGAACTGCGGCCCGCTTCCAAAGTTACACAGTGCTGAAAACAACCAACCAGGGCTCTCTGTGGACATGAGAGAGAGACGCCATTCTCCCTGTTGAAAGTTGTTGTCCCATTAGATCCACTTTGAAGCTGCTATTTTAAGATGTAAAAAATTAAATTGTTGCTTTCATGGAAGTTTTATATTTTGTAATGAAGTGCTTTGATTCAAATGTAGTTTTTTTGAGAAGCATATTTCTTTATTTCCTTTTTTCTGAAAAGTGCTTCAGAGCGATTCACAAAATGACAATATGTCATATAGACAGATCATTTCTTCCACTTTTTTCTTGCCCTTTGATTTCCAAATGTCTACAGTCATGCTCCACCACTTCACTCACTAGGTCAATCTATAGAGAAATAACAAGACTCCTCTGTCTTGACTCGGTATCTCTCCTCTGAAATAAATAGACCCTGACTTCACCCTGAACACACTGAAGCCTAATAACCAAATCTCATTCAAATTAAAGCAATTTTAAAAAGTACTACTACTGAGGGTGAGCATGGCCTTCTCATGCCTGCTGGGTGTAAGTGTCTGTAAAGTGCTGAGGATTATCATTATAACACATTACAGCGCCGCCTTTCTAATGAGCTCATATCTCTAAACGTTACACACCCTCAGATTGAACCCGGCTGGATTTAAATATTTAGGTTAAGCCTCAAGATATGTTCACTCAGCAGAAGAGAATTCACTTACCGCTTACTCCGGTTCACATTTTGAAGGAGATTTAGCCTCATTAGCATCAGATAAAACACCATATCTTACAGCCTAATTATTAATTTTTAAATTGGGGTAATTTATTCCGGGGTTTTTTCAGAAGTCTTCAACACTCACATGATTACACTAAAGCTCATGGGAGTTCACACCACAGACCCTTTACGGTGATTAACATGTTTTTTTGGGGGAGGGCTGTTTTGCTGTATTATCAGAGACTCACGACCTGGGAATTTAATGAAAACACAGAGGGAGTATCCTGGAGAGGTCGTTCAAGAGTGAGCAGCAAACACAGACACATAGATAAAGAAAGTTAACTTTCTGTGAGGATGTCTGAGGGAAGCACAAGATGAAACAAAGGAAACATGATGCACATTAAGAAGGTCTAACACACAGAGGGGTCAAGAATTCTCACCGTGGGAATCAAATCCAACAATCTGTGTAAGTGTTTAAAGTAGACCCTGATAGATGTGACTAATATGGGTTTCCTGGGCCACATGTTGAGTGTCTAAAACCTGAGACACAAAGTGATTCAGGGGGTGTCACGCTACATTTTGTTCGTTAAGCGGCACATAGGGCGGGTAAGCAATGTGCAGGAGGTAAAGAGGATGGATTAAGTTGCTTTATTATACATTATACACCAATCAGAGTCAGCTCTTATTCCTTTTAAGCCCCAGGTGCACTTCACTTGAATAAAGGAGATGTAAAAATGTATTCACGCCTACTTATTTACCTGCTGGAGACCTTGGTTACGTTCTTTAATGCTGTGGATCAACCAGATGGTCTTTGGGTTCGATCCCCAGCTCCTGCAGCCACATGTCTGATGTTTCCTGAGGTAAGATACTTAACCCCAAGTTTCTCCCGCTGCTTCATTGGCGGTGTTTCTAATGTGTATGAATGGATTCTTTAATACTGATGTTCACTTAACAAAGCAGCCTCTATCATCAGTGTGTGAATGTGTAGGTGTGACCTGAGGTGTAAAATCCCTTTGAGCAGTTTGATAACTAGAACAGCGCTATACAAGCTCAAGAACATTTCAACACTTTACTCTTAAGTCTTGAATAACTGTGGGCTTGCTTGCAGGTGGCACTCATAGTTATGTAGAATTATTATGGGCTGGCCAATAAATCACGATGTAACCATTCTCAATAAAAAAATAATATGAAAGTCTGAATTTATCACATTATATATAAAAAACACTTTGAATGCAGTCAAGCGATGCGTTCTCTCTCAGCATGTGTACATGTTGTACACCTGTGTGTAATGTTCATCCTTTCTTACCATTTAGATGAAGTCAAAAGAAGCTAAAGCTAACTATCTACTATCAGATTAATCACTGAAAATTATTTAATTTCATTTAATTAATAAGAAAAATAAAGAATAAGTTTCTGGGGGATTTTATATTTAGAAGTGACATGTTGCAAACACAGGGTGTGTGTCAAACATGAAGAACAGCAGACAGAGAGAAACTCGAATTTAAAGCTGATTTGCACTCTATTTTTGTTTATTTATCGCAATTCACATCGTTATCGCAATATTGCATGCATGCACGTTGCATAGTTTTCTTATAACGTGCAGACCTATTATGGATCCCACTCTCTGTTGCATGAGAGCATGTGAGTGTGAGTGTTTCTGCATGCATTAGACAGAACACACACTGCAGCAAGCCTGCACGATGGAGAGCTTGGTGTAAGTCTCTGCTGGACATTTTTGGCCTCGTGCTGCTCGAGAAGAGCTTTTCCTGAGCTTGAGAAGTCATTTAAAGACGTAGCGATGGGTGTTTCCTCGTACTCTGACATCACCAGAACGGCCAGTCCAAAGAAATATAAAGAAGACAGGTGACAAGAAAAACAAAAGCTTGCACAAAAGCATTCATTTGCCTCCCCATGTTCAACAACTACTCCCACTGAGGGGTGCATGTGTGAACACCTGACATTTTCTAAAAATGTTCACGATAAGAAAAAGGCTTTAGTGTGGACTGCTGTCTGCTCTGCTACATGTGCAGACAGTACAGAGAGTGTAGTACAGCAATCTAACTTATACGTTTGTTTAACTCTTTATGCATTGTGTACTGTGCCTGTGTCTATTCCATTCTAGTATTTGATTTTGTTTTTCAATGATTGTACTGTTATATTCTAGCTCTTGGTGTTTCCATATCTCCATATAAGAAAAAAAAAAGTTTAAAAAAAAAGGTATTTAAAAATGTATTAATGTGTTATACCTTATATCACCAGGCCAGTAAGAGCCCCCTGGCGCTGACAAACTCTAAACCACAGCAGTGGTTCAAAATGCTCAAATTTTGATGACAGTAAGAAACCTCCCTGAGAGGGCCCCATCTGACAGCAATATCTCTCATTGTGCTGCTAAGCGCATGCATTATTCCTGTGAACACCAAAGATTGTCAAAGTCCCTGAAGAAAAATGAAGAGAATTCATCCAAAAGAGAAAGATAAAGTGCTCCCTTCAAATGCTCATAATGGTAACTATTATTATTATTATTATTATTATTATTATTAATAACATAAAGGTGATGAACGCTGGTTAGATGACCCCCTGTACATTTATGGATCTGACCAGCGTTTTACAAGTGTGTTTCTGACAGGACATCACTATTTTCTTACTCTGACAAATGCAGACAAATGAATGGTGGGAAGTTTATACACTTTTTCTTATAATCTTATATGACTACATTCTCCTCTGGAGCATGTTGTCCTAGTTTAAAAATTGCTAAATGAGTAATTTTTAAAATAAACTTTTTTATTTGTAGATTTTATTCTGAAAAAGGACTTCATAGAAACAAAGTCCACATTTAAAGTCAAGACTGAAGGTGTTCAAGTCAGATACAGTCACTGTAAAAACTGCCATGTTGTCTTATTTTAGTATAATAAACTAGTCTTGTATTGCAGTGACTCGGGCAAAAACAACAAGATGAAAAAGATTTACAGAGAAAAATAAAGTTACATAAAAGTTCAGCAGATTATATTGACGTTATGTGATTTGTGGTGAAGGAGGAGGAGGAGGAGGCTCGTAATGTGGGCAGAGCTCGTCACGGTCACAGTGCGCACTTTAAAAAACACAGCCATGAAAAGCCTGAATATTTCAGATACCAAACGCGACAAATGCAGAATATTAATTAAGAAAAAGACACTCACCTGGAAACAAAGTGTGTAAACTCGGGCGGTAAAACGTGTGAAATAGTCCGACAGAGAGTCCGCTGAAGTGCACGCTGCTGTTAGAGAGGAAACTCCAGAGTGAAAACACACGGTGGGTTTGCCTGTCGCTTCTGTCGCCTCCTCCTCCTCCTCCTCCTCCTCCTTCTTCTTCTCTGTCTCATTTACATGTCAACAGAGAGGCTGACAGAGCGTCAACACGGGGAAACCACAGGAGGAAGACCCGGCTCGGTTACAGTATTCAGCTCTCTCCTGAAGTCAAAATGAATCAATCATTTTATACATTTGACCGCAGAGAGGAGGGACTATTAACCTCAAATCCACGTCTGGTTTATTTATAGTAAACCTGCCATTACCAAGTGAATTAAACTCTTACTTTATAGCTTGTTAAAATCATTATGCAGCGCAACGAGTTGAGAAGTTGACTTGTTATATAATTACTAAATGTCAAATCCTGATCATACATGAATAAACGCATAGCTCAGTATTCTGATATTTCATGTAGACAGAGAGAGTCGTGGCGCGTGGGCCCCCCCATGAGATGTGATTGGCCACCCCAGGTGCAAACACCAAAATCCAAATCTATGACTGGCTATTTGGATAATCAGAGGCGGGACAAATCAATGATTGTTGCTGTTTTCGACAGGCAAATGTTAGTACTTTCAGTTGTAAATAAATACTTGTGCACATGATTTAACTAGCATTGGACTTCATTGCCAATAAATGTGTTTTTGCAAGTTAGACAGCGTACAGGCATTTGCATGCAACTTTTTAAGTTGGCTACTTTGCACAAAAATCTTTGTTTTTAAGTCCCTAGAGAATCAAGCTAAGAAGATTTTTATGTTGCCAAATTGTGTTACTCACAAGTAAATATTAGTGGGGATAGAAAAGATTTGTGCCCACAGACTTCATGCCACCCTTGCATAAGTCAGTGCCCCAGTTGGGCCACCCCAGTTCAAAGAAAGTCTGGACACGCCCCTGAATGTACAGAAGCCCTAGGACACACATCAAAGCACTTTATGCAACTCCATTTTCCCATGATAATGATTCAAATAGAAAAAAAACATTTGCATATTGTTTCATAAGACAGAGACCATCTACCACAGTGTCCATCAGAAACTTAAAGGTAAACTCCTGCACACTGTCTTTCTTGCAAACAAACATTTATTGGCAACATTGCGGCATTAGACCTGACCTTTTTTTAGTTAAACAGTGTGCAGGAGTTTACCTTTAAGCCCCTGATATCTCTGGATACCAACGCTGGTTTCTCTTGATAACAGGTTCATTTCAGCTGCTTTCTTGGAATGTAGGCTTCCATTACTGAAACAATATCATAAAGCAGAATGTTGACCTCTTGTCAATGTATTATATCGTTTCAGTAAGTTTACCAAACAGGCAGGTATTTAATATTTGCTATACTATGAAAGCTCTAAGCGGACAAGACAAGATGACATGATCACACTTTAATAACTCTGTTTGCCTGCGATAACGACTACGAGTACATTGTATTGTTTTTGTCTCTATCTCTCAACTCATTTATCTCGTTATCTCGGGACCATTATGGGGTTCTCTTGAAAATGGGTTCATTTCATCATTTTTAAAACGTGTTTTCAAATGTTTTTGCTCTTTTGCCCTTTTTCTGTTAAACATACAGTAATATGGATGTTTTTGAGTAAATGTTCATTAGTCACTTCCAGTGCAAATTAGGGTGAAACAGGGCAAATACTGGTATCTTTTTTAAATCTCCAGTCCTAAAGTTTATAACACAAACTTCCTATTAGACATGTGTAGTCTTCCTGCAGAGATAACCCCTGATGACCCAATGACATCATCAGGGTTATTATCAGGCTTGTAAAAAGTCTCTTCCCGGGCTTCAGAGGACACCAAGAAGGGTTTTCCATGAACAGTAAACTTAACTTCATGCTGAAAACTTTACCTTCACCTGCACTTCAGTTTGTACAGTACGATCGAGCTGCAAGTTCATCAAGTTCAAAGTATATGATTTTGTTTTTGTGCTGCTTTCACTTAAGTCCACATCCTAGACAGACAGGCAAAAGCCATCCCCTAAATAATGTTGCTCAAAGGCAGGAGATCCCAATCTGAGGCCAGGGGGCATCCTGAAGGTCAAGAAGGTCAAATCAGACTCATGTTTGTACATTTGGCCTTCAAAGAGAACTGAGGAGCAGACTCTGAAGGGGTTGAAGATCAGACAGAAACCTGAATGGTTGTTAGAGCCAGTGACAGAACTGTTACACTGAAAAGAACTCTGAGGTATAAAGGAGCCAACAACAGCTTCATCAGGATCTTAACTTGTATCCTGTTTACATCCTGAAGGAAATATAAACACAACAATATTGTTTACACTTCAAATGTTCACAAAAGTTATATTCTGTTGTGCTATTTATCCTCCACCATCACCTCATGTTGCAGCGTGATGATGCACGGCCCCTCGTTGCAAAGATCTCTACACAATTCCCTGAAGCTAAAAACATCCGGCCGGTCAGGACAAGTCACCCGCTGAGCATGTTTGGGATGCTCTGGAACGGCATGTTGGGTTTTTATTTTTGCTCAGTGAAAGAAGTAAAAATTTCTGCCAGAGCAGCAAGCAAATTGACCTTTAGTGTATTGAGGCATTATTTTCAGATCTAAACCAGCTGGTACATCTCATTTTAATACTCAACAATTTTACTTGCTGCAATGGCCGATCATTTTACTTGTCAGGTTATTGTGGAATTAAAGAGTAAAAAGATACTTTTGAATAGAAATTCGGTCAATACACTCACTTATATTTGAGTTTTTGCAGTGTACTGGCCCCGAGCCATGGAGAACAGAGCAGGGGCCCCGTTTCTGGGGAGGGAGGGCGTGTCTGCAGAGACCTGGATGTTTCCGTCGTCTTTTCATCTGCTGTCAGCCTGTTTCAGTGTCTTTCTAAAGAGTGGTAGATATTTGAGAATGTGGGACTGTACGCAGTGAAACAGTCAGTTCTGGTTCTCCTGACACACGTTTCTCCAGGTGTTTAAAATAAACAGCCTCGTGTCGTCAGGTGAGTCAGAGGAACCAGAGCTGATGTAAACTGTGTTGCACTGACCTCAGGGCTTGTTCTGATGGACTCACAATGCAGAGAGCTGTATGGACTCACACATAGAAGGTGCTTACCAGTGTGGATTTCAGATTGAAGGGATAGAGAGTGGATGTGATGGGGGGCTCGGGGGCTGGTCTGACAATAGATGAGTACTCACATTCTATAATAGAAAAGCTGTCATGAGCTATACTGCACAAATAAAGTTTCTGTATGTTAAATACATGTAGAGTCTCTGTATGTTAAATACATGTAGAGTCTCTGTATTTTAAATACATGTAGAGTCTCTGTATGTTAAATACATGTAGAGTCTCTGTATTTTAAATACATGTAGAGTCTGTGTGTTAAATACATGTAGAGTCTGTGTGTTAAATACATGTAGAGTCTGTATGTTAAATACATGTAGAGTCTGTGTGTTAAATACATGTAGAGTCTGTATGTTAAATACATGTAGAGTCTGTGTATGTTAAATACATGTAGAGTCTGTATGTTAAATACATGTAGAGTCTGTGTGTTAAATACATGTAGAGTCTGTGTGTTAAATACATGTAGAGTCTGTGTGTTAAATACATGTAGAGTCTGTATGTTAAATACATGTAGAGTCTGTGTGTTAAATACATGTAGAGTCTGTATGTTAAATACATGTAGAGTCTCTGTATGTTAAATACATGTAGAGTCTGTGTGTTAAATACATGTAGAGTCTGTGTGTTAAATACATGTAGAGTCTGTATGTTAAATACATGTAGAGTCTGTGTATGTTAAATACATGTAGAGTCTGTATGTTAAATACATGTAGAGTCTCTGTATGTTAAATACATGTAGAGTCTCTGTATGTTAAATACATGTAGAGTCTGTGTGTTAAATACATGTAGAGTCTGTATGTTAAATACATGTAGAGTAAAGTGTTGACAGTAGATCCATGTGTGAAATGTATTTCTTTATTATTTCATTTCATATATTAATGAAATAAGAAGATCAGTAAGAGTTTCATGTTGTTGTTGATACAAGGCTAGATTTTGGATGCTGTACGCCTACCTTAGCATAAAGAAACAGGAAGCACAGGCTGTCAGATAGTCGTTAGTTAAGAACGTTACGTTAGTTAATTTAGTTTCTAATTGAAGCCACAATGAAATGAAATGAAAACAGATAATAGAATATAAATTATATAGACCACTTGGGGCAGCTGTGGTTCAGTTGGTAGAGTCAGTCGTAACTCAACCAGAAAGGTCGGGGGTTCAATCCCCAGCTCCTGCAGCTACATGTCCGATGTGTCGTTAGGCAAGACACCTAACCCCAAGTTGCTTCAATGGTGGAGTATGAATGTATGAATGGATGAGTTACTTCTGATGGTCTCTTTACACAGCAGCCTCTACCATCAGGGTGTGAATCTGTAGGTGTGACCTGCAGTTTAAAAACACTGAGGAGTCAGAAGACTAGAAAAGCGATACACAAGATCCAGTCCTCTTATGAACAAATCTACTTTTTATTTTTTTTATTTTTAAAGATTTATTTTTGGGCTTTTGTGCCTTTAATGGAGAGATAGGACAGTGGACAGAGATGGAAATCAGGGAGAGAGAGTGGGGTTTGACATGCGGGAAAGGAGCCACAGGTTGGATTTGAACCCGGGCCGCCCGTGTTTGGTTTAAAAAGTGATCATTTGCAGCAGAAAGGGAAAAACAATGTTGTTAAACAGATACGCGCTGTCATTTGAGAAGCTGGTTTGACGTAAATTCAATCAACTATTGGGGGCGTCGGTGGGATAGTGGTAAGGGCGTGTGCCAAATGTACAGAGGCTGTAGTCCTTGAAGTGAACCATCTCAGCCCTTTTCTCGACTACATTATATCCTCAAATTCTTCTCAAACACAATAACACAGAAGGAAAATGTGGCAAGAAGAAACACAAAGCACCTTAAGTGCAATGTGAGGAGGAAGTGGAGGAGGAGGAAGAGGAAGATGAGGAGGAGTGTCTGTGAGATTCACTCCCACACTCTTCTGATTACAGATCTCTGAAACCTGATCTGGTAATCTCCTGACATGAAGCTGAGTGTGATTTGTCGGCTGATGTCAAAAGCTTAACCTCCGTCACACCG